TGAGAAAGCCTTTTGAGAGGTGAGATTGAGTGAAATTCAATGATCTTATGCAGTCTACTGGCTATATGCTTGTGGGATATTCCACTATCCTTCGCCTTAAGCGACCTGTGGCGACTCGTCTTCATATTCACGACCCAGTTTTTCGGCCAGTGCCCGCCAGGCTACAGAGAATTTGGCAGGTTTGTTGCCAATGTTATCCCACTTTCGAAGTTCTATATGTGTTTCACATCAGGATGACTTGCTGGCAACTTGGTCGTGATGACAAGAGCGTCTAGACGAGCGTACCTTGTCCAAAGTCCTCAGTCATAGTAGTAGGATACTTTCCAGAGTATGACTGCGGACTTGATACATTCCTAAGGATTTTGCCATGACAAGTAAAAATAATTTTTGAAATCTCTCTCACCTACAGCCTCTCTTTGTGTCTCCCTCTATCTCTCTCATAAACTCCATGGGTACACCTCTAGACAAGTTGAAGATGAATAAGCTCGAAGATGTGGTAGATAGAGGGAGGACAGAAATTTGTTCATGGGATAGGCCTTACATGTCTCCTTGATAAGTTGTAGCTTGATGTTAGGAATTGAAATACTCAATGACGATGCCGACTTCTATACTGGCGAAAAGTCTGAGAATGTACGAATTTCCCTGTTTAACACAGGAAACTATCATGACTTCTCAGGCAGATGGTTTTGGACAATGTCAGTCCATCTAAATTGCCCTGATACCAAGACCAAGTTTGGGAAACGAGGCTAATGATAAAGTCCGAGACGACCATAGCCGGAGGCCGTGTAAATGAATGTCATCAAATCACGTCTAAGCTGGGTCAGGTTAGCCACCATGGCTACCAGTTGAACCCGCTAGTGTCCAGAGATGCAACCCTGGATCTGAGACCTATGGTGTGTCAGCTCACTTGAACTGAAGATGGGTATGCTTCAAATAAAGGTAGGGAAACTCGCCCAGGCAGATTGTCGCTTCTTGTTAAACGATGGCAATCATTGATCAAGAAAACTTTTCTTGACTCGTTAGCTTAAATACGGTTGCAAGAAGGATAACTTGCTTTGGTGATGTCCGTCACTAGACGGACAAAAGCTTGGCACGTTATCACCGGAATAGAAGGAGATTACCTCGGAAACAGCGTCAGCATGAATGCTGCAGTAAAGCCAATCGACAGCTGGTCAAGAGGAATCTGCCGTCGTCTTCTGGTGGGATCGACTTTCGAATCTCTTCACCAAACACTTTCACATGAAATGAAAGTAAGATCAAAAATTATAAACCAAGAGATTCATTGAACAACAACTTTTCTTCGTAATTATTTGCTATCACAATCAGCTAAGTTACTTATTTTTCTCTTATAAGTTGATTTCGAGATTATCAGTCTCTTACTCTCCTCATACGAAATAGGATATGATCAACTGGTAGTCTCAGAACCTACCCCTAAAAAAAATATATTGTAGGAATGAAGTGTAACTGGGTTTCGATGAATCTTTTGAGATAATGTTGTTGAGGAGACTTTCATTTCATACGAAAGTACATAAAGAAGAGATTCGAAGGTCGAACTCACCAGAAGACGACGACTGATTCTTGTCGTGTTGCAACCATTTGAATTTTATACGACCTTCAGGTTGACGCAGTTCCCGAAACATCCTCCCTCGTAAAATGGGCCGAGCCTTCGTCCATCATATGACCAACATCATCAGAACTGGAAATCATTTTCGTAGAAGTCTCACATCAAGGAGTTTATCCGGCTCTATCTTGCCTCGTATATGTACAAATACCTCATATAGCCGGATAGTCTTCTAGATGTAGTGTTACTGTGAGACTTTTACAAGAATGAGTTCCATCTCTGATGATGTCCATCACATGATGGACGAAAGCTCAAACCATTTTAACCCGAAACGAGGAAGGATGTCTCGTGAACTGCGCCAACCTGAACGCCAAACGGCTGCAGTACAACGGAAATGAACCGTCGTCTTTTCGGGAGATCGATCTTCGAATCCCTTCTTCAAGAACTTTCATATGAAATGTCAGTCTCCACAACGAAATTTATATTTATTTTTCCAATTAAGTATTGTTTTCATGACTACCAGTAAATCAGTGTA